GGTGTGTACCACGACACCTGGGGTAAGTGCACCTTCTTGATTTTCCAGTTTTCGATATCTAGAAAATGATGGAAAGTGAAAAGTTAGACTCACCTCTGCCACATCAATCTCCTAATTTATATATATATATATATATATATATATATATATGTGTGTGTGTATCACCATTATCAGTAAAAATCAATTTCAGGGTTTATGTTGTCATTTATATTGTCATGACCATGTAACTATTACTTAAAGATGAGTGTCTATATAGTGCACTAGGTTTTCATCTTTCATGACTGTCTTCTTTCTCCCCTTAATTCTTACTTCAGTTTTTCTCTTTGGTTAATTTTTGTTCCAATCTTTAGTACATCTCTGCATTTTTTTTGGCAGAACTAAAAATCATTTCTAAACACCTTATATCTGGTATTCCATTCCTTCAGTTTCCTTCTGTGTGCTATAATTCCTGGGACTCTAACTAGGGTTCAAACAAATAGTTTGATTGTATGTCAGATTATAGAATGAAAACACTTTTCCATCAGAACTTTGGTGACATTGTGTCACTTTCTTCTATCTTCCAGTATCAAGAAATCTAAGGACATGACTGGACACGAGGTTGAGGTGGTAGAGCACTTGCCTAGCAAGCACAAGGCCCTGAATTCAAACTTCAGTACTGCCAAAAAATAAATAAATAAAACAAAAAAATTGAAAAAGAAATCAAATGACATTTTATTTTCCAAGTGTTTGTTATCAGAACTTATTTTTCTTTCTGCAGAATTGTAGAATCCATTCTTTCTCACCCGTGTACTGAAATTTTTGTGCCTTGGCATAGATATTTTTCAACTTTGGGATCTATTGATTATGTCCTCTAGGAATGGGAATATTTCCTGTGCTTTGATGTTTGACAATTTTCTCTTTAGAGCTTTCTAAAATTCACATCATTAAAGAACTTAACTTCCTGAATTTCTTAAAATTTGTTACCTATTATCCACTTATTTTATTTTTATTTTTTTGGTCTATTTTTGGGGGATTTTGTTTTTCAACTTTATCTCCTATATCATATGTTTTAATTCTTTTCCTTTAGCTATCATATTTTTAAATTATCTAGCATTCTTGATCCTTGGTGTCTGAACATTACCTGATATTTGATTTATCACTTTTTTTTTAAAGAACTTGACTATTTTTACCAGTCAAGTTGGTTTTATTGAGCTTTGTTTTTTTCTACTGAACTTCTCTTTTCTTTAGGATTTTCTATATTCTTTTGGTTTATATTACTATACTTCAAAAAATTTCTTGAGTTGTCATTAATTTTCCCTTTATAAAGATGGAGTCTTTTTTTTACTATGAGGTCCAGACTGACCTGGAGCTAGTAATCCTCCTGCCTCAGCCTCTTGAGTGCTGGTATTATAGGTGTAAACCACCACACCCTGCAATTTTCCCATTTTCTGAAATGTATAACTTAATATAAATTTCCTTTTAAGTACTGCCTTAACTGTATTCCTTAAGGTTTTTTTTTTTTTTTTTTTGTGCATTAGGGTTTGAACTCAGTCCCTTATTAGGCAGGTGTTCTACCACTTGAGCCACGCCTCCAAACTTATATTCCTTAAGTTTTATACATGGCATTTAAAAAATCATAATGCATGCTAAAAATTGCACATTTTCACGACTACTTTTTCTTTCACCAATGAAGTAACTGAAAGTGTGCCATTTGAAGATTTGCAGGCATGTGGTATCCAAATACTGGGTTGAAAGTAGTATTATTTGTGTTAGTGATTTCTGATTGTGTTCAAGCAATGTGAGATGCTTGATGTAGGTTTTTTTAATATTTGTTGAGACTTGTCTTTTATTTTAGTACCTGGACAATTTGTGCAAATAGTCTCTATATCTTGAAAAGAATGTGAATTCTCTGTTTTGGGGGAGAAGGTTTCCACATCTGTTATTAGGTCAGCCTTGTGAATAGAGTTCTTCAAAAGTGCTCTTACTAACTTGTGGTCCGTTTAATCAAATAATTGTTGAGTGGGTGTTAAACCATCAACCATGACTGTGAATTTGTTAATTTGTTCTTATAATTCTATTAGAATTTTCTATATTGTTAAGCTACGTAATTGACTATACACTACTTTAAAATTCTATCTTCCTAATAAGTGGTTCATTTTATGATTAATAGTGAATTTTATTATTCTACTAATGCTCTATGTAGCTAACCCAGTTTTTGGCTAGCATTTTTCTGGCATATCTTCTTCTTCTACTGGGGTTTGAACTCAGGGCCTACACCTTGAGCCACTCCACCAGACCGTTTTTTGTGATGGGATTTTTTGATAGGTCTTGTGAGCTATTTGCCAATGCTGGGCTTGAACCATGATCCTTCTGATCTCTGTTGTTTCCTGACTAGCTAGGATTGCAGACATTAACCACAGGCACCTGGTAATATCTTCTTTTTTTTAAACCTCTTCATCTGTTTTTATTGGGTTATTGTCACATTGACCCTTTTTGTAGCTTTATGCCTTTCTTTTTTTTTTTTTTTGACCATTTACTTTTTTTTAATTGAATACTTGAGATTTAACTTCCTTACTAGTAGGAAATCAAGAGTCTCCCTTGTGAAGCATTTCCTATTCCCCAGTCAATAGTTCAAGACCTCTAGGGCTATAGTTCCAAGAAGTCAGTGTTGTTCCCACACACCATGCTGCTGCATTTCTTGTGGCCCCACAGTGCTCTGTGGGCATTTGCTTCTGCCCAGCTCACACTCCTTTTTTTTTTTTAATTCATTTATTCATATATGCATACATTGCTTAGGCCATCTCTCCCCCCTTATGCTTTTCTCCTTAAATAAAACATTGTTTTTCTTGTGGTAAAACACACATAAGATTTACCATCTTTGTCATTTTTTTAAATGCACGGTTCAGTGGTATTAAGTATTTTCATGTTGTGCAACTGTCACCACCACCATCCATCTCCAAGAAACTTTTCATCTTGCAAAAATTGAAACTCTGTACCCATTAAACAATAACTCCTCTCGGGCACCATGGCACACAGTAATCTCAGTAATTTGGGAGGCTGAAGCAGGGTGATTGTGAATTTGAGGCCAGTGTGGACCATGTACTGAGACCCTGTCTCAAAAAACGAAACAAGCAAACAAATGAAAAACAAAAATGGGAGGGAGGATAAAGGAGAATGACGAAGAGGATGAATTCAACTATGATATATTCTAAGAACTTTTTAAAGTGTCACAATGTACACCCAGCATAACAATAATAAAAAATTAAAAATTAAAAAAAAAAAAAGAAAAAACAATTACTCCCCATTCCCCTCTCCACTCAGCTCCTGCCAACCGCCATTCTACTTTCTGTCTCTGTGAATCTGACTACTGTAGCTGTCACATATAAATGGAATCGTTTAGCATTTATCTTTTTGTGACTGGCTTATTTATAGCCTCCTTTGTTTGGCTTTATGCTTTTTAATGTTTCTTATAAATAGCTTTTAGTTGAAAAATTTAAAAGTTCCAATCTGAAAATTCTGTTCTATAACTGTAAGTTTAACACATTTACACATATTATAATAATGATACATTTGAATTTATTTCTATCACTCGATTTTGTGTTTTTTTTAAAAAAGTATTGTGTTTTTATTTCTCTTTCCTACCTTCTAGTGGTCTGAAAGTTTTTACAAGTCCTTTCTTCACTTGCCCCCTGATTAATACTGATTAGAAGAAATCTATATATTTTTAGTGAATAAATATAAGTTTGATAAATCAATTATCAAGCTTAACTGGCTAAAAATATGACTTAATGATATTTCTCTCCTCTCCTCCTAGATAAAAAAGACCTTAATGATATTAGACTTCAGTATACATTGAGTAGTGATCAGTATACATTTTATACATAAATTATCATATTCATCACCTTAAACTCTTACCATTTCAAATTCCACTCTCCTATTTTGAGATATACAATATATTTTTGTTGATTATACTACTCACTCTGCTGTACATGTCCATTATTTTTGTTTATATAGTTAATCTTTATTTATATTTTCACACATTTGCCATTTTCTTATCTCATCATTACATTCTCAACTCAGCCCTCCTTTATGGAGTCTGTCTCCTTATTCCTGAAATTCATCCTTTAGTAGTTCTCTCAAAGAGCTTTATACATAGAAAGTGCTCAATAAGTTCTTATCAAGGGAATAAATGAATCTAACCAAGTGAATATAAACCAATAGAAGTGTCTAGTTTGTATATTAGAGGATAGTGCTTGCCTCATTTACCAGATACCTAGTTTTAGTCAGTACTGTGAATCAAGAGAAAAGCTTAAGAAAGCCAAGTTGTTGAGTATGGGTTTGTATACCTGTAATCCAGCTACTTGGCTTGGGAGGTAGAGGTAAAAGGATCATGAATTTGAGGCCAGCCCAGGGAAAGTTAAGGAGACCCTATCTCAAAAAGAAAATACAAAAGAGAGGGCTGGGGGTAAGGGGGTGACTCAGATGATAGAGCACTTGCCTAGTAGGTGTGAAGCCTGGGTTTAATCACCAGTACAAAACAAAAACAAACAAAACCCCCCAAAAAACCAAGGGCCCAAGTCCTCTCCAGTCTTCTTTATGTGTCCCAACTGTTTGCCAGCATAAGCTGCAGCCTTCATTTCCTTCTCTGTTTGCTTGGCCTTCTGTTTACTCATTTGAGGAAACAGAGGATGGATAAGTTGTAGACCCAAAGTCAGATCACCTGAGATCTAGTGCTCTCTCTATCACTTATGGGGCAAGTCAGGTGACCTCTGTTTACTCAGTTTATCTGCAAGAAGTGGATAGTAATGTATCTACATCACAGCTTTATTGTGAGACTTGAGTGAATTAAAACATACAGTGCTTAGCCCAAGGCTGGCACCTGATCTATGTTAACTATGGTAATTGTTAATGCCTGTGCCTCATCTGAGCTCCATGTCTTCCATTGACTCTGGACAACTGCATGTACATAGGTATGGTAGAGGTTAAGTTGTACATGTACCATATCTCTTTGTTCCTTCTAGTATGTAAAGAAGTGGACACCATAGAAAAAGAACTGATCAGCTTTTGCCTGGATGCCAAAGGAAAAGAAAACCGCCTGGTACGGTAAAATTTCTCCTTTTATTTTTCCCATGTGCTTGAAGAAAACTGCAAATAGTTTCACTTCTCACCTTGAATTTGACACCCTCTACTTACATGTTTGCTTCAAGCATGTTCCTTGTAGACACACGAAGTTAAGAAGGCAGTCTTTTCAGGGAAATGCAGTCCAATGTATTTTCATGTAGAATATATCTAGTTCCTTTTTGTTTTCTGAGTAAACTGCAGCAAACCAATTTTATATTTTCTTAGATAAAAGTATAAAACTAAAATGAGAATTTGCTGTCCGGAGTTGAGTGTGTAGACATTTCACTTCTTACCAAGACAAATAGTCAAACCTATCAAAACATTTTATAATATTATATACATGTAACTAATGAAGTATTTATATTTTCTTGTAATGGAATTTAGATGGTGTTTCTTGAATTTAACATATGGCTTGTTTCAACGTAGTGTTTTATAGCAATTTCAGGCCAATTCTTTTTTTGTGTGTGCTGGGGGTTGAACCCAGAGCCTTGCATATGCTAAACACATGCTGTCCCACTGAGCTACAACCTCTTCCAGCCCCAGACCTTTTTTACCTAAAATAGTCATATTGGATTTGTCAGCTAAATTTATTGTTGATGGCTTAACAGTGATGGCTTAACAAATGAATCTTGCCATTCATTTGTGCTAAGGTGTTTTATGTTTTTATGTGTAAAATTCTTAAGTCAGGTAGTTTGAAAGGCAATATTATATGATGGAAAAGATCGTGGTCTGGAAAGCCAAAATGTTGGATTTTGTAATTCTGCCTCTTCTATTTGCTGGCAAGGCAAACTTCAGCTGTTTTGGGTGCAACACGAGATAATAACAGCGCTTGCTTCATCAGATTGCTGTGGGAAGTAAGTAAGTTTATGCCTTTTAAGCAGTGAGAGCAGTCTCAGCATAGAGAAAACACTTAGTAAGCTCAAGCTCTTCTCACCAGTCTTTCATCATCCTATGCATTGTAGGGCACTGCTAATTCGGATGGTCACTTGTCTTCTGGTGTCTTAGTCAGCACGGGTTAAAATTTAATGGCTGGACCATGAAAACCGGGTTAACCTCTTTCTCCATTCTTTATATTATATTTCTTGCTCTTTTTTGGTTTTTTCCTGTTAATTGTCTGGGACACTGAATTGTCTTCATTTTTTTCAGTGCTATTATTTAGGAGCCACAAAAGATGCAGCCACCAAGATCCTAAGTGAAGTCACACGCCCCATGAGTGTGCACATGCCTGCAGTGAAAGTTTGTGAGAAGCTGAAGAGGAAGGACAGTCAGATCTGTGAGCTGAAATATGGTAGAGCAGAGCCAAGTGTTTGTCCAATACATCCAATGTGTTGCCACACCCTGAAACATGGGGCCATGTTGTCTAAAAAGTCAGGATTCGAAAGAAAGAAATTCTCTACTCATTAATCAGATGATGGGTTGATGAATGGTGCCTTTTGCCATCTGAGCTTCTTTGAGGGAAAGGACATTATTAGCCACCTAATAATAATAATAATAACAGCAACAATAAATAACCTAATACACAATGAGCATTAGGCTAAAACCACCAACCCAAATAGCAAAGTTTAAAATCCTAATGCCCAAGGCAATGTCAGTCATGTACGTCAAGGAAATTACCAGAATATAAAGATAGCAGCTACCATGGTGATTTAGCTTGTGGTAATCTTTTAAGACAAAAGTTACATCTAGGGGTGGGGGATGTGACTCAAGTGGTAGAGGGCCTGCCTAGCATACACAAAGCCCTGAATTCAAAAGCTAGTACCATCACCACCCAAAAAAAAAAAAAAAAATTACATCTATTTACAGAGGATAGCAGGACTTTGAAGTTGTAAATTTGACTACATTTTTCTTCTTAGGATGTTTACCATTCTGCCAGCTTTAAATTTTAGGAAACATGTTATTCACATCAAATTAGAATGTGAGTGATGAAATAGCTTGTCAAAGGTGCCTAAAATATACAACAATAAGAAAAGAGAAATGTGCTACTTAAATCATCATCCTTGGCCTTACACATTTCACATAGCTCTGTTCTCTGTGGATTCGTATCATCTGGACCAGTCTTTTGGGTAGATGGAGTAGATATGATAAATAGCTGGGGAATTCTTCCTTCAGTTGTCCTTAATACCTGAAGTTCCACCAATTAGAGACTCATTTCTTCTGCTCAAGTCATTGTTTTATGTTACATTCCTGGCATAGTATTGTAAACTACCTAAGTAATTAACACCCAGCTCTGACTTGTTTTATTTTTATTTCCTAACTCATCTGTGTAGTATGCATATACATCATATTGCATGTAGCAAACTTTAAACAGGCTTACAATTGAAAGGTATCAAGAGACAACCTATTTCTCAATTTGCCTAGAGCAAGTCCTAGTTTCCAAGCTAGTTATTATGAGTAAGCGTCCCTTTTTATTGACTTCCAAGTAATGAAATAGAAGCAGGAATCACACAGTCCACATAAATAATATTCACAAAAGGGACAACCTGTGCTGAGTTAAGATATTTATTTTGAAAAAGTCATATATGCAAAGGATCTTACAGCGCTCCTTCAAACAGTAGAAAAAGTAATCCAATATTATTGAGAAGTGAATACTAATTTTTTTTTTTTTTTTTTTTTTAGCAACACTGGCCACTAGAGGCCCTGGAGGAGCCAGGAACTAGTTTTAATTTGATATTTACCTTTGCCTTGTAGTTTTAGGGTGCCACAGAGGTGGTCCACCTTTTAAATTTAATGCCAGATGCTACATTTGCTAGGAAAAGAAAAAAATCAAGGAAATTACTGACGTTTACAAGAAAGTATTTTCCTCCTTCAACTATTTCTCTTGACCAGATTAATAGTTCTGAATTCTTCTCAGCTTATTGTTGGCAAGAAAATGAGGTTCGACAGGGACCTCATTGTACTGGGGGATATTGATTATTTCAGCTATAAACATTCCTTCTTTTAAAGATATTCTGTGAAATCAGCCTCCAAAGTAGAGTTGAAGCGGGCAAGGAAGGAATCATTTGGTTTTTGACCTGAAAGAGCGTTTTCCTTTGCTTGTTTTGTTTTTTATAAGGATGAGGATCTTATAAAAATTTAGAATTCTCTGGAGCAGGGTTTATCTGACCTTCTGAATTAAAAAAAAACTTTAAACTTTAACTTTTTAAATTATATCACAGTTGGAAAAATTTGACAAATCACTCAACAATTATTAGATTTAAAAATTTTTTTTTTAGTGTTATGTTTTGTTGGTAGGGGGAAAAAGGCAAGCACTTTTAAACAGTGGTCAAGGTAAAAAAAAGTCCTGGGCTGGCACTAATGGTTTAATAAGTAAACTTGAACGTGATATCCACATTCAGAATGCAGACTTGGCAATGGGGGAAGGGCAAAGGAAACTTGGCTGTGAAAAAGGAAATAACCCCTTTCTAATAGAAAAATGTAATCTTGAGTATGTTAGGGATGACAATAGAGAAGTAGCTGAACTCTTGATATTCTCTACAGATAATCTGTAAGCAGTAGTCTTGCCAGTGGAGGTAGATGTTGGTGGCAAGTATTAACGACAAGATTGTTGACATAGAGCACTAGCCTGAGAGAACTGATGCACCACACAGGGCTGCATATGACTGCTAGGATAATCCAGTAATCCTAGAAGTATAAACTCACCTGGTGTCCCAAACATCTGAGGAGCAGTGAACACACTCCTAATCTAGTCACAGGTTTGGGTTTTTTCCCATTTCTATGGAAGACTCTACAATGCTCATCTAGCTCACCAAAGTAATTTCTCAAATAAAAAATAAACCATATCTTGCTGGCTAATTTTGACCTGTGGCTTTCAGTTGCTCACTACTGAGGCATCCCAAAGACACTACTTTTTATGGATTTCTGCCTTTTGAGCCTTAGGAGCAGCAATTAAGATGTTGAGAACTTGGCAGAGCTACATAGACCCTTATTTTGAAGGGAAAGACAAAGTATCCTAAGAACTTTATACAGTTGTTCCTTGGTATACTGAGGGGTAGGGGTGAGGGGAACTGGTTCTAGGACCTCCTGCAGATACCAAAGTCTTCAGATGCTCTCAAGCCTCTTATACAAAATGGCATAGTATTTGCTTAGAACCTGTGTACACCCTCCTGTATAGTTTAAATTATTTCCAGATTACTTACAATACCTCATACTATGTAAGTGTAATGTAAATATTTGCTATACTATGTGGTTTAGGCAGTGATGACAAGAAAAAGTCTGTACATGTTCAGCACAGATGCAGTGTTTTCCTCTGGAATATTCTTGGTCCACCACTGGTTGCATCTGCGGATGCAGAACCAGCAGACATAGAGGAAAATATGTAAATTCCATTTTCCTTGAGTAAGTCTTGGTTCCTGTGGAAACTGGAACTGTTCCCATATTGGATTGAACGGGAGTCAGTACCATGTGCTCTTCTAAGTGTTTCATGGGGCTTGGGGCTTTTGTTTTTTAATTGTGCTTTTCCTTTTGGGCATTTAGAAAAGAAGCTGGACTTGGCGTCAGTGGACCTGTGGAAGATGAGAGTTGCAGAGCTGAAACAGATACTGCACAGCTGGGGGGAAGAGTGCAGGGCCTGTGCAGAAAAAACTGACTATGTGAATCTGATCAAAGAGCTGGCCCCCAAGTACATAGGAACACACCCCAGAACAGAGCTCTGACCTTGGACCACACTTTGCATTATAGTTAGAGGGAAAATGATTCTGGGATATAGATGTGTTGGTTAAGGCCAACCAGGAATGACACTGTGTTGGGTCTCAGACTTTTTGCCTCAATATTATACCTCAAAAATTTGTTACTTAGGCTTATAACTAAAATTACAAACATTACTGGCATGTCCCATTTGTATTGAACCAGAGCTTAAAAGTACCTTTCTTATAATTTTCTTGGAAGAACAAGGCAAGTTATCGTTGCCCACCTCCTAAAATTGGGAAAAGTGAGCTACTGAAAATTGATGGAATGAGTTGATTCTAAGAGCAAAGGCATCTATTTATATGAGATTTGAAAATTAAATACATTGGATTGGAACAAAAGAAATAACAGCTTATCAAATGTAGAACTTCAACCCCAATAATTGCCTACATAATCAAAAACTTTCTTTTAAAGTAAACTTCCTGTTTTTGACTGCAAATCACTCCATTCTTTGGCAAACTGTAAGGCAGGGCTAGTTTGGATTTCCCATCTCAAGAAAATCTACTTAAACCTTAAAGAAACTAGTTGAAGAATCCACATAAGGAGAGTCAATGTCGTGGCAAATTGTATCCACACTCTCATTGCTAAGTGAGCTGAGCTCAAGCTCTTTGTCATTCTTTATTATCACATATTGGAAAAGCTTCCGATAGTGGGGCTTTATGGTTTTTAATGCTATTTTATCAGCTTTCACATTGTTTTACATTTTTTCTTTTTTTGTGGTGCTGGGGATCGAACATGCACATGCTGATCAACTTTAAATTGTGAAATCATTTTCAGTTCTATTGCCTGGCCACAGAAGAATAAGAAGGGCCTGGTAGAGGTGGTTGCCTCTCCCTCAGAGGTAGAGGTGGGCAGGCACTCAAGAGCTGCATTCCCTTGGAATTTTCTGGGTGATGGGAATATCCTATGTCTAGACTGGAGTATTGACAAATGTGATTGTCAGACTCATCCCACAGTACAGTGAAGATCTGGACATCTGTTATATGTAAATTATGTCTAAAAATTGCTGTAAGAATTACTTGAAATTTACCTAGAACTAATTGATTCAAAATAACTTAGTTGTTTAACGACTTTCATCTAATGGCTGGGTTTACATTTGAGGAGTGGAAAAGAAGTTTCCCAGCCTATAAGCACCATTGAAAGTAGAAGATTCATTTTTAAATGCTGCAGAGGTAAATGAGTTTTCTACTGGAGACTATAGGATGTAACCAAACTTGTCAGAGAATTACAGGTTCCCAACAAGATACTTATATCATGTAACTGAAAAAACTGAGAATAAAAAAACTTTTGGTGTAACGAATAGCCAAACATTGTTATTGTTTCTGGATTTTGGCAGTTTCATTATCATGTTTAAAGAACCTACTTTAGTTTGAATTATATCATGAAAAAGCCCTAAATCAGTTTTTTTTTTTTAAATTGTTAGCTTTAACATTTCTTTTTGCAGTTCAAACTTCCCATAAAATTTGTCATTTGAAAACATGTTTACAGTCTGGTCTCAGAATTGGGTCATGTTTCTGTACCATTGTTTCAGAAAATAAATCTAGGTAATAGGAACACTGCTTAGCAGGTCATTTGAGTCAGTGATGTTTAGTGTGTTTTTTTCAAAGAGAATTTACGTCAGAGCTCAAACTTCTTAAAGTGTGCATACAAATCACAGGGTGGAGGGCAGGGGAAGGGGCTTATTACAATGTGGATTCTGATTCAGGGAGCCTGGTGCAGGAGCCAAGGTAGTAATGTTACATTTCTAAATTGATGAGCTTAGTGTTTCTTTTCTGTCATTGTTGTTTTCCCTTCCTCTTCTTTCCTCCTTTCGTCCCTCTCTTTCTTCTGCAGTGGCCTCACACTTGCTAGGTAAGAACTCTACATCCTCCAAGTGCCTGCACGTCTAACAATTCCTACGGAGGCTTCCGGTACCGTCTTCCAGGGGCCATGCTATGAGTAGCAAGGATGTGAATTCAGTGATTGATACAATTTTTCCCTTTGCCAATTAAGTTTCAGATAGAGTTGAATGTAACAATGACAACAGAAATGCACAAGAGTTTATTGTTTATGTAAGAGAAATGCTGTTGTCTTTCACAGTTGTCAAGGACTCATCTCCAACCTCTTGGCTTTACATCCCAGTGGCAGGTTTCACTTTTAGCCTATGGACCAAGTTTGCTAAAAGAAGTCCTCATTTCAGAAGGGAGAAGAAGGCAAGGACCTACCTGTAACCTGACCTCCAGCCCCACCTCCACCTCCAGTCCCAGGCCCACCCTCCATCCCACTTAACACACCGCACTATACCGCTGACCAAAACTTAATCACAGCCTAACTTGACTGCAAGGAATTTGGGAAATAACATCTTTTGGGTGGGATCATTGCTGCCCAAATAAAATCAGATTTTAAAAAATTGTTTATTCATTTATTCATATGTGTATACATTGTTTGGGCCACCTTCCCTACCCCCCACTCCCTTCCCCCCCTCCTCACTTCCAGGCAGAACCTGTTCTACCCTTTTCTCCAATTTTGTTGAAGAGAAAACATAAGAGATAATAAGAAAGACATAACATTTTTGCTAGCTTGAGATAAAGATAGCTATTCAGAGAGATTCCTAGCATTGCTTCCATGCACATGTGTATTACAACCTGAATTGGTTCATCTCTATCAGACCTCTTCACTACTTCCCTGTCACCTTCCCATAGTGGCCTCTGTCAGTTTAAGATTACTTTATTCGCTCCTCTACAGTGGGCACATCAAACACTTTCAAGTTTTAGGTTTCCTTCCCTTTTCCTCTTCCTCCTGTATGTATTATCCCCTTAGTGTGTGACCCATGTCCAATAATATTACTGCATTTGTTGTAGGTCTATAATCCACATATGAGGGAGATCATATGATTTTTGACCTGAGCCTGGCTAACTTCGCTTAAGATAATGTTCTCCAGTTCCATCCATTTACTTGCGAATAACAAAATTTCATTTTTCTTTGTGGCTGAGTAAAATTCCATTGTGTATAAATACCACAATAAAATCAGAATTTTTTACTGAAAAAGAAGGAGAAATAGTTTGTGATCACAAACCATCTGTACCACACACTGTAAATTTTTTCCTTGCCATGAATCTCAGGCTGTAATTCTTGGTTATACTCTAACTCTTCCTTCTTGCTATTTGCTTCTTTCATGCATATAGGCAGTAATGCCTTTTCTTCTTCTTCTTTTTTTTTTTTTTGGCTTGACAAGAAGCAGCAACTGTTGTTTTCTATTTTATTTTCATTTAAAATCACTTTTCCTTGTGCATGCATTTATGTATGTATTGTATATATTTTTTTTACCCAAAATCCAGAAACACAGGAGACTTAGAAGTCAGATATTCTGACAAGCAACACAATTCTTAACTAAAAAAAAATTAATGCAAACAGTAGTATTCTGGGATAGATATTATTCCTGATGAAGTCTAGATTTCAAAAATCCAAAACAGAAGACCCATTAGTTAGGTTCTTAAATAAACTCAGGAACCAGATGTAACACTTAGAACACAGCTTAAAAATTGTAGTTCTTCATTTAAGTATGGATAATCTGTAATCCACATTTAATCTAACTTAAATTCAGACCGAATTAGCTTGGCCTATAGGATAAGAAAGTGTCAAATTTGTAGATCCCTAAAACACAGTAGAGCGTTTTGAAATCCAAAGTCCCCCTCTGTGGGTTTGAGCAACTCTTAGAGTCTTTTCTAAACAGAGCTGTGAGTTCTCACTCCAAGACTGTCATCCAAAAGAAGTGATTGTCAGGTGGCAATCTTTCAAAATGCATTTGAAATAAAACAATCACTCCCAAAGAAAAATCCTTTTGGGTATGCTCTCATTTTGAATGTAGAAACTTTTTTTATTGTTGTTGGTGTCTATCATTTATTTTAGCTTTTCCCTTTTTTATGTTATTATAAGGATCTTGAATTTGTGGTATGAATAAAAAATTTAAATTATGAAAGTAATTGCATTGAGTTCTTTTTGTTTGTTTTACTGTTGTGCTGAGTAGGGGTACATTGTGGTATTTACAAAGATTCTTACAATGTACTTGAATTTACCATTCTCTTCCCCCCATTTGAGAAATAGTTTCAACTGGTATCTTTTTTCTGTTCACTTTAAGAAGTTTGGGCTCTGATGTAAATTCTCTTTGAAAAAAAAACACACTAAACATCACTGATTCAAATGACCTGCTAAGCAGTGTTCCTATTATCTAGATTTATATTCTGAAACAATAGTACAGAAACATGACTACCAGGGCCTTGGTAGTTTGTAAAGCTTCCCAGGTGATTTCAATGTGAAGTCACTTTTCTGTGTACTCTGCAGAGTTCTGGCAGCTGCCGCCCAGGGAGATGGATGGTGCATGAAGCTCACTCGGGCAGTTTAGCTCTCCAAAGTTTGAGGGTTGACCTTGAAAGCTAACATACATGGAATGGCAAGTGGTGCATTTTCTGTGGACACACACCTGTTGATTAAGATACTGTGAGTTAGTTATCTATATTGGGAAATAGGTGAATTAACTCACATTGAGAACAAAAGAAGAAAAAGAACACATAAATGCAGAATACAGGTCCCCAATCTGTTACTAAAATCCCTGCAGCAAGATATTCTTGGAATTTTATAAATTTTCATGCTCTAGAAAGACAATGTGTTACATATACTAATGCTATTTTTTTTCAGGGCTGGGAATCAAACCCAGGGCCTCACACATGTTAGCCGAGTGCTCTACCACTGACCTATAGGCCCAGCCCTGCTGTGTATAGTAATATTGACCAATTCCTCCAACTGCCCCCTCCCCACCTCGGGCTTGAAACACCCTCCCATAAATCCAGGCCAGGTATTGTCACCGCAAGAATTCAGGTCAGGTCAAGTTTTTGCTGTCAAATGAGTTACATAAAAGAATTTATGATTTTCAGAGCTTTTTGGTTTGGAGAACTTGGATGAAAGATTGTTATTTTGTGGTGACTGTGTTATCGATCATAAATTAAGATATTGGGCACTCTTTTCTTAAAACCTCTATCTCACACTCCTCTTATATGTTTTTAGAAGTTGAAATGCATTTGGGGGCCTCAGAAAAACCAGGACTCAGGGTACCCAGCTTCGGTGTTTTGGACACTTGATTTCGTGGAGCATTTTATAGCCACAGAGGAAACACTCACCAAGATACTGTCCTTCCCCAGCAGGTATGTCCGCTCTGGTTCTCCTGCAGCTCCTGAGAGCTAAGAAGCCAAAAGGAACAACTGTCCTCTTTCCTGCAGCCCCACCTCAAGATACCCATCTTATTAGATGGCAGTCTGCCCTGGTCAGACTTTGCACCAACTGTCAGGTATTCTCTCTGGCTGCAATGTTTGCAGTCAGCTGCAGAAGACATTGTTTACAGGCTCTTGCCCTTTTTCCTTTTGAATTTTTAAAAACCTATTTTGGAAAGAACAGATCAAATGTAGGTTTCTTCATGACGGAGCAGCTATAAATACATTCTGAAGGATCCTGGACAGAGCAATTTGTAGCAGGCAGTAAACTTGCCCATGTTCGAGATGTTATCTAAGAATGTGTGTGTACATATGGGGAATTCAAGTGTTCCTCTCACTTCTGAAAGTCTTCCCCTGTCACCTAGTTATTTCCTTACATCTCTAGTCTTCTTCAATCCTAAAGTAGCAGGAGGCTCCTTGTGTCTTTCAGAAAGGAATCCAAGGAGGAGAGAGTGGGGGGCAGGGGCAGGAGGAAGAAATGACCCAAACAATGTATGCACATGTGAATAAATGAATAATAATAATAAAAAAGAAAGGAATCCAGAGTTTTCTCCTTTCCAGATTAGATTTATATATGCTTATTTTTGCCTTCTCAGAAAGTTCACAGTGCCATAGTACCTTGATGTTGAGCAGAATGTACTCAAAAGCCTGGTTTAGACTCAGACTTTGAATATAACCTTTGTAGTTTACTTTCTCTGATTCAGGTTGCCAATGATTCCCAAAAGTTTCACTCTATTGAAAAATCTTACTATTAGAATAGCCTCCTGGACAATACAAAGATGTAAGTGAAAATAATAAGAGGGAAAGAGAAGTGAATGGAAATTCAAGTCTCAGGTTTTCCTATGGTTCTTTCTGCCATTAAGAATGTAATAAGTGACTACCTGACAGGGTTATTGTGAGGATTAAATAATAAGAAGACAATAAGGTACTTAGCATAGATCAGACCCTTTGTTAGGCGATAGTAGTTGGATTCAAGTGATATTTTCTTTTACAGATTTTACCTATTCTCATAACATTCTACAAGAAGACTTGATGAGTACTGGCTATTTATTTTATAAACAAGGAAGTGGGGAGAGGTGACATTTAGTGATTTGCCCACAGAGGCCAGGAA